CACATGTCTAGAGGAGCCCTGGTGGCACAGTGGTTAGAATGCAGCATTGCAGGTAAACTCTGCCCACAGCCTGGAGTTTGATCCTGACCGGCTAAAGGTTGTCAGCCTTCCATCCTTCTGAGGTTGGTAAAAGGAGGACCCAGATTGTTGGGGGCAAAACATAAGGGGTCTTGAGGCCTCACCTGGGGGAGATCGCCTGAAAAGGTATGTTTCTTATCTGCAATCCTCCGGCTCAAATTGGATCTGCCCATTTCCTTTTTTATACATATAGTAATTTTAAAATTACACCAATAAAAAGTAATGCCAACTGAAAAAATAGAGTAAAATGAATAGAATATGCAAGAAAAAAGGAAAACTAGAAAGACATAAAGAAAAAATAAAAATATTGTAAAGAGAAAGAAATGACTTCCCATAATCCTCATAACAAATATAAACAATTTTAATAACTTATCACCTTCTCTTAAAGTACAAATGATCTTTTATGCTGTCTCTTATTTAAAACAAATCCCTAAAGTGTCATCATTTCAGTCCTGAGGGTTACCAGAGATAACATATCTTAATCTTGATTAGATAAACCAACTTTATATTTTTTTTCCTTTTACTTTTTACAGTCGTGATCCTTAGTTCCTTCAAATAATGTCACACAACTTCATTTTTAGTTTTTTGTTTTTTCTTTCTCACAAAATTATTCAAAACTTTAGTAAGACTCTTTTGTAAATCCAGTATAGGAAAATTATCCAGGTCCCTCTCTTGGATTATTTTTTTGTATATCTCATTTAATTATTAGGACAACAGTCAGTTTCTTTTATATATCCAGGGTGACATCTTTTTCTGAGTCATTCTTGTAGAAATCAACTTTTAACTCAGTCTTACTTTTTTAGGTAGAATTTGCTTTTCTTCCATAAAAAGTTTAGACACAAACTATCCATAGCAGACACTTCTAAAATTTAACTTCTGATTTCGTTGTTCAAAAATATCCTTTACCATATCCAAATGTTACAATATTTTGCTTCATCTTGTAATGGTAAACTGAGTGTTCTTTTCCTTTAATTGTCCAGTTTTAAAAATCTTAATATGTTTCAAACCAAAAGTGTTTTCTCATGGAAAGGAATGGGAATGTTGTTTATTCCTCCTCCCCCCCCCCCCGCCTCCGTGTTGTGTTTGTTGCCTGTGTATGTAGCTCTTAAAGGAAATTCAGTGTTTAAAATCTGTCAATCCAATGGTGGCCAATAAAGCAGTGAAAAAGCCATTTCTGAAAGTGATTGAGAAAAGGGGGTACATGAACTCTACCAACCCACAACTTCACCAGAATGGCCATTTCCTTGTCTCCCAGAGGTCTCAACCCACTGCCGACTGCCTTCTCGCAGTCTCCTCCTGAGGAGCAGCGGTCTGGGGCACTTGTGAGAGATCTCAAGCCCTCTGCTTATCCAGAGAGGAATTAGAGAGAGCTGGTCTACTCTCTAATTCTGCGCTCTACATTCTGCTGCAGTTGCCAGCCCTGCTACTCACGGAGACATCTTCACTCGGCCATTTCTTCTCCAGAAGTCTGTTTTTGCCTGTTTCCTGTTCCCTTCTATCCAGTTTTTGAGTTCTTCTCCTATGCCTCAATCCTTTTTGGCTCTAAGGGAGATCAGAAACTGGCCTCACAACCACTTTGCTTGTTCCCTCCCCCTGCTTTTTTTTCTTAATGAGATGACTGACCAGCAGAAGCTGACTAGCAAACATATTCCTGGCTCAAAGTCTGTAACTGAAGTGTAACTGAAGGGATGTCTGGAAGCAAATTCTTTTCCCAGTGGCCATGGCTCTCAGGAGCCCTGATTTCTCATTTCTTTTCTTCACATAATGTTCTTAGCATATAGTTGCCACAACAATGCCCGTAACTAACCCCTTTTCTGAAACTTCAGCTCTTTAACAGCACTCAAGCAATAGCTGCACAAATGGGGATAATCAGTAGATGGCAGCCAACAGATACAAAAACTCTTTACTCTGTTGGTTGTTAAGTCAAACACTCAAATAAATGACTTACAGCTTGAAGAATTTTTTTTAAAAAGTTTACTGTGACAGTAAAACAACATCAAGCCAATTGTTGTTCACTGGATAACCAGAACATTGTGCAGACCAACTGGAGAAGATTTCACACAGTGGAATATGGTTGATGCAGCTTGAATTTCAGCCAATTTCAATCTTTAGAATGCTGTGTGTGTGTGTGTTTGTGTGTGTGTGTGTGTATTACAGGTAGAGCAGGGCAGAGTTAGGGTTAGGGTAATTCCATCATTTTACCCAGTGATGGAATTTAAATATGTGAACAACTGTGTGGATGCCACTTCCGGAAGTCCATTCTGGGCCTGGGCTCTGCCGAACTGGCTGGATCTCACCACTGATTTTACCTCCTGCACACTCCAGCCCCACTGCAAGGGCCACATTTAAGATAGCAGGTGGTGGTTTGTATGAGAGCAAATAGCTGTATGGATCTACTCAGAGTCTTTTCAGTGGTGCAGCCTCCCTCTGGGTCTGTGCGCTTGAGACCCTTATTCAAGGAGTTTTCCCAGCCTTTTAAAAACTGCATTTTGACTTAGATCAGTTTTCATTTTACTGTCTATTGGAACAGACTGCTGTACTATTACCTTCTTTCAGTCACCAGTAATTTTTATTTTATCATAGTCATTCTTTACTTGCAAATTTATTAACACCCCTCACCCTTTTGTATGATACCCTGTATATATCTTTATGCAAGAAGAATGCAGTAATTTTTTGGGGAAATTTACAGCTTACTTACATAGATTCTTTAGGAGCCAGAAATGGTGAACTCTCTTCCGACCTTCAAGTACAGAACTAAAGAGCGCAATCTCTCCTCTCTCTTACATCAGCCTTTTTCTCATTCACCATCTGTAAAATTTCTTCTTCCTTCTCCACATCCATTTGGGCAAAAGGGGACTTTCGACTTTTTACCTGACTTGTGGGTAAGTCCAGCTTCTAATCCAGCCTTCATGGACCTTCATAAATTGGAATTGCAACTTCTAGGATGTTACAGCTAGGCCGAGTTGCTTGAATACAAATATTAGCTGACTACATTTATACAAGGAGGAAAAAGAATGTTTCTCTTCACTTCGACTGTGAAGAATGGTTTTGTAACTGAGCTTGCATTGTTTAACACGTTTTCAACATAAACTTTTAGAGAAAAAATGGCAAAAAAATATCCAGAACATCAATTTAAACCCTGTATTAGAGTAAGTAAGAATGCACAGTCTAATAAACATGGATGACTACTTCTTGGTATAAAGAAAACCAACTATTTTCATTTAGCATGCTGAAACCAAAGTACCACCCTGACTATAGGCCAAAATTTCAGGTCGTGACTTGGGCCCCTTGAACGGCTATTTGTAGTTGCAACTTTCTCTGCACCATTTCTTAAGAGGCACCATAGAAGTTGAGCCAAACAACGACAGCCCCATCGTTTAGGCTCAGTTAGGCCCGCTCCCCTTGAAGCTAACGGTGCCTACGCTGGGCAGCCCCGGGGCCTTCCGCCCGTCCGGACTCCTGGCCAGGGGCCTCCGGCCTTGCTGGCTTCTCTTGGGCAGAAACTCCAAGCCAGACCGTTGAGAAAAGGGCTTCCCGGCGCGGCAGGAGTGCGGCCCCCGGGCCCACGCAGCCGATGCCTCGCCCTCTTTTCCAGAAACTTCACGGTCGGCCTCGGTCTCCAAGGAGCCGGGAAGGCTGCCTGAGAACCAGAGGGGGGAAGGCCCGGCTCCCGCGGCTGGCTGAGGCAGAACGACGCCGGGGACTCCCCGAGCGGCCGCAGCGGGATGGCGGAGCTTCCTCCCGGCGCGGACTTCGCGACCGCTTCGAGGCAGGGCGGCCCGGGCGGGAGCGGCGGTCCACGGGCTCCGCTTCCCCCGGACCTGCCTCACGTCGGGCTCTGGCCCCGGCGATCAGCGTTGCGGCCTGCCTGCCGTTTGCGGCGCCCGCGCTTCAGCAGGACCTGCCTTCGGCACGTGGAGCTGGGCGTGCGTATGCAGAGTAGCGCGCTGGGCCGCCGGAGAACTGCTACATAAAGCCCGAGCCTTCGCGGCGGCGCCAGCCTCCCAGGCAAGGCCGGCAGCCTTCTTGCCGGGCCCGCTCGCCTCCCTCGTGTAGGGTGCTGCCTGCCGCGGAAGCAACCGCGTCCGAAGAGGGAAGCGGCGCCAAGCGGAGCAAGGCGCGCGGGAGAAGAAGGAGCAGCGCGTCTCCTCCCAGTCAGCGGCCGAAGAGGGCCTGCCCGCCTGGCTTCTCCGCTTCGCCCACTTGTTGCTCGTCTCTGCTCGGCCCAGCTGATTGGGCTGCCCGGCGCCCCGCTCGACTCCGCTCCTCCCCGGCCGGCCGGAGCGCGACCTCTCGCTCCCGGCGCCAGGAGGGGGCAAAAGGGGCGGGTCGGCCCAGCCGCCTCCAAAGCTGCCGGTTCGCGCGCCGGAGTCGCTTCACTTCGCTTTCGTCCGGGTGAGGAAAACCGAGAAGACGCGAGCCGCTCGCCCTCTTCGTGCGCCCGCCTGCCCTCAGTCGCATTCAACTTTCGCCTCGCTCAGTCGGAGCCGCAGCGGAGCCGGCCTGCCTGCCCGTTTTTTCCGCCGAGAAAGTTAATAATTGCAACAGGCGCGGCGGAGGCAGCGTGGCACCCGCCGCTTCTTGGCCCCCGCCTCTCCCCCTTGGCGGCCGCTGCTCTCCTAGGCCGCGCTCTCGGGCGCTTCAGCAGGCCAGCCCCGACTTCCGGATCAGTGTCCCAAAAGCGGCAAGCCGCGTCTCCTGGCGCGCCACCTGCTCAGACCTGCCCTCCTCCCGGGCGCTCCGACGGCTCTTCGCCCTGAAAGGGATGATCGCCCGCTTCGACCGCCGCCGCCTCTTCTGATAAAGGTGTCAGTCGTCGCGGCATCCCCGCTCCGCCGAGGACTCCTTCCCGAGGAGCGAAGCCGCCCTTGCCAGTGAGGAAGCCGCGAAAGTTCATCCCGCGCACTCGCCACCAACGGGGCATGGAAGTTCACGTCGGGCTGGGCAGGGTGTATGCCCGGCCGCCGGGAAAAACTTTCCGCGGAGCTTTCCAGAGCCTTTTCCAGAGCGTCCGCGAGGCTTTCCAGAGTCCCGGCCCCAGTGGAGCGGGAGAGGAGGTCGGGCCCAGCAGCCAAGCAGCGGGCTCTCCTTCCGCAGGCCCGCCGGGCGCCGGTCTGCAAGAGCCCAGCCCGCGACAGCAGCAGCGGCAGCCCGGCTCCCCTGCTTACCTGCCGCTGGATGAGGCTGCCGCAGGCAGCAAAGGGTTTCAGCCGGCCGATCGCGAGTCCCAACCGGCGGGCGCCGCCGCCGCTTCCGCTTCCTCGGCCGCCCCTTCGTCCCTGGCCTTGCTGGCTCCCTCGTTCCAGAGCTGCTCCGGGGACCTGAAAGACATCTTGACCGAGAGCAGCCTCCTGCCCGCGGTAGCGGTAGCGGCAGCGGAAGGGGAGCCGCGCGGCGCCGGGGCTGCAGGCGGCGGCGGCGGCGGCGGAGCCAGCGCGGCCAAGGAAGACTACTTGGGCGAGAGCGCCAAGGAGCTATGCAAAGCCGTCTCTGCCTCCATGGGCCTGGCGGTGGAAGCGCTCGAAGGGCCCGGCGGCGGCGAAGCGGCATCGAGCCGCGGTGACTGCATGTTCGCGCTGCCGGGCGCGCAAGCTCGGTCCGTGGCCCTGGGGGGCTGCAAAATCGTCGAAGCCGAGCAGGAAAGCGGCGGCGGCGGCGAGGGCGCGCTGGCCATGGACGTGCCGGGCCACCTCAGCCTCTTCAAGAGCTCGCCCGAGTTGGACGAGCCGCCGGCGGGCGCCTTCCAGAGCCGCGACTATTACAACTTCCAGCTAGCGCTAGCCTCGCACGGCCGCATCAAGGTGGAGAGCCCGCTGGAGTACGCGGCGGGCGGCATCTGGGGCGCGCAGTACCGGCGCGCCGGGGAGTTGCCCGCCTTAGCGCCCCACTACGGCGCCCCTCCGGGCACGGGCTGGCACCCCTTCTTCGCGGAGGACGCGCAAGTCTACGGCCCCTGCGTCTCGGCCGAGGGCGCCGCCCCGACTACCTTCGGCTACGGCCGGGGCCAAGGGCCGACCGGCCAGGAAGGAGCCGACCTGCCTTCCGAGGTGTGGTATCCCGGAGGCGTGATGGGCAGGATGCCCTTCGCTCCGGCGCCCGGCTGCATCAAGACGGAGCTCGGGCCTTGGATGGAGGGCTACGCGGGCGCCTACGGAGACGTGAGGTAAGGAGTCGCAGCGGGAAGAGCGGCCGGGCTAAGATGCGGGCGCCCGGCCGGGAGGGCCCCGGGGACCCCCAGGGAACCCGCGTCCGCCGCCTGGGCGCTACAGGGGAAGGAGAAGTGCCGACCCTCCCGGGCTGGGCCCCTTGGACGGCGTCTTGCTTTCTCTGGGGGAGAAAAATGCCCCTCCGTCCGGGAAAGCGCCTTATCCCGCCTTGGCTTTTGCTCAAGCGGGGCTCGGAAGGGGCGATTAGATTAAGGGGAGGTTTGGGGGGTGGCGGCAGCAATAATGGTTAGGGAGCACCGTGCAACTCTGCTCGCGCGGACAAGTGGTTGTTTTCTTGCGTTTCGTTGAAGGGCCTGGCTGACTGTGGGGGGTGGCTTCTCACCTCAGAGTGAGGGAAGAGGTTTCACCAGAAGTTTTGAGCTGAATTTTCAGATGAAGTAAATCAAACAGCCCCATTTGTGAAAATGAAGCTACAGCATTCACAGACCAGGGGATCAGTCCCTTTTTATATATGGAAGAGCAGATTACAGGCCCCTGATGATGATCTAGATTTTTTCCCTTTTATTCTGTGTTTATGGAAGTTTTTTCAATAGCCAACAACAGATGTTAAATGATGTAAATTGTGTGCATAATATACATTTTATAGCTTGAATTGAATCATAAATTGTACATGTGTACACATTTTTAAAAAGCAAGCTGGGTAAAACAAATGCAGACAACTTTTTCCTGACAAAATTATTAATATATTAATATTAATATATTTAAAAGGAGAGTATTCTACTGGATTAAATAGGATTTACTTTGCATAGATACAGTACTAGCTTTATGTCATTAAAAAGATGAGCCATGTATTTGTGCACGACCCAAGAAAACACCAGTTACTCCAATGTGATAGCTCTGACCCATGGACTTACCTACAGCTTGCTTGCTAGAGTATCTTAATCTTATGAAGCTTGTAGACATTAACTTTGATCTTCCCTCAATATTTTTTGTATTTATTTTCATCACAAATTACTCTTCCTGTTGGCAATAGTGATTCGCAATAGGTTGTATTTTTCATAGATTACCTTTTAAAATGCTGAATCCTGCTTTTAACTAAGCCAACAACATGATTTTGGTTACTGTAGGCAAAAGGTTTAGTCAGCCAGCCTTTCTGGCACCTGCAGTAAGATATTCCTTGGCCATATGTTAAAATGGAAGCCAGGATAGGTCCCTTTCTAGGAGGATGGCTCTCCAACAGCCCAACTCTCCCACATTGCTTCGTTCAGGCAGTGCAGCTTTTCACAAGGGCTTAATTTTATACTATTATTTATTACTAACAATAAAAAGAATGAAACATTCTTACCTAACATTTGATTTGTCCATTTGCACAATGTGTTTAGATATCTCAAGTTTTGTTTCAATGATCCAGCAGTATAAGATTTATTTGGTTTACTTTGTTTTGAATAAACGTGATTGGACTCATATACAAATTCTTTAATTTGATCATCTCTCAGATCCAGAAGCTGAGATTAAGCTAAACACACACACACACACACACACACACACAAATAAATACCTGAAGGAAAGACAAAAGGGAAAAATAAAAATAAATTAAAATCCAAATTGATCTGAGTCCTGAAGAAAAACTGCAGTGTAGTGGTGTCTTCAAATTGCATAATGATATAGTTGTGGTAATGCATAATATTTATTCAGCGATTTCACCAAAATCCTGTTGGATAAATCTAGCTAAGCTGATGCTGCTACTGCAGAGAGTGGACATCCCAGTTCCCTGTGATCAACTTTGCGTTCCATGCTTGGTATTAGACAAAATGCCTTTGAAGAAAGCAATTTCTACGGTAGCAAGTCAGTTAAATGTACTACCGTACAAGCAAAATTAGCAACCCATTGATGTACATTTATTCAGATTATTTTCAATTTGAACATTTAGAGCAGTGGTTCCCAACCTTTTCTACACCCCACACCCCTGGAACGCTTCTGATATATTCTCGCACCCCTTACAAAAATTCGAAACAACGGCAATGAATTATGCATATACACTATAATTTTGAAAACCCAAATTTTCGCACCCCCTGGAATATCATCTCGCACCCCTGGTTGGGAACCCCTGATTTAGAGCATCCACCATTTTCTTCTGGCCCCTTTAACTGCTTCTCGGACATGAGGAGGAAAAGGCAGCCTCAGCCCCACCTTGTGGTTCCTGCTTTACTTCAAAGTCCTCTTGATCTAACTCTCCCTTTCCTAGTTGGGGCTACTATCTATGGTTACATTAAAGCGTTGCTAAGAATTGCAAGCAAAATTCTACTGAAAGTATCTTCAGCAATGTGTTGTGTCTGGAAATTAGCAACTAGCATTTGCTAAACCATAAGAATTACATCGTAACCTAAATTTCTGGTTAATGTATATTAAGGCAACTGTTGGTCAGTTAACATGTATGTCTATTTGCAGAAGTCAGTCCTGCCAATACTTTGTAGGAAAGCTTCTTTCTATAGCATGAAAATTGTGGAATCTGAGCTAAAATAAAACAGCTATCAGTGCTTCTTTTGTGGAAGACGTTTTGAATACATAAAGTATTAAAATTGTCTATGTGATATAACGCTTGAATATTTCCCATTCAGATTCACAATGCCCACATATAAAATATTCTACAGCACTAGGAACCAGACACTTAGAAATTTGATAGACTAGTACTGAAAAAATATTTCAGGCTGCCCATTTGTGATAATAATAATAAAAAAGGTATGTTGTAAGTGCTTTGAGTATCCTTTCCCTTCTTAGCATTTATCTTGGGCCTAATCCAGTTCTCTATGGAATCTAATGGAAAGTTCCCCATTGACGTCAATAGACCTGGATTGACTCTTTACGTTTATGACTGTAGGTCCTGTTGAAATGTTACAGTATGGTGATCCAAAGTTATTTATGATGCAGTTCTTGCAAGAGGCCTCTTTGCCTTTTGTTGGAATGGGACAGCAGATCCTGCTGGTGTGTTCAGTTGCCTTTGGAGCAGTATATCCGTAACTGTGATTTATAGCAAAACTTCTTTGCTTTCATTTGAATTGGACCACAGCTGTTTGTTAGCAGATGGCATCATAACTAGAACAGAAATTCTAGTTATGATGTGTCCAGTAGGAGTTCTCTTAGGTTGGTAGCCATGATTCTGGTGTGAAATTTCTGTATAAAATGCAAATAGACTTCAGGTTTAAGAAAATCAATCTGAAAAAAGTTAATAGTTTGCATCTGAATCATGCCTCAAGCTCCTGTATTTTGCTACAATACAGAAAATTGTGAACGTGGTTATTTCTTGCTTGGCGATAAAATGGAATCTCCATGCAAGCTTTTCCTTCTGAGGGGCTTGTTGCAAACTAGGGGCTGAAGTAGTCATATTCCAACCAAAATGGATGCTTTTGCCCCCCTTTGTTTCATCTGAACGGTTAAACCTTTTGCTTTAAATCCTGCACCTTAGAAGTGATCGATTCTGGCAGCGCTGGTGCTATAATTAACACTGTATTGTACAAGCAAAAGCTGAAGAGTTTGAGAGAAGGCAGCATTTTAAATGCTTAATTTGTTCATGCTACTTGCAGAAGTTTGCTTATTTATTTATTTAACTTCTTTTCATAACTCCCATCTGTGAGGTTCTCATGTGACTCCATGGGGTAACTTGTACATATTTAAAACTGGAGGTCTTTCTGGCTGCCCGTTTGCCCACAACATCTGTTGGCTAAATCCATTTAGGCTGCAGCCCTCGGTGCCTTGCCTGGAGAGTGAAGGCAGCCTGTGAGGTCGTTGCAGAGGAACACAGCAGCATATCATAGAGGTGACCATTTTACAGCATCCTATGAGTTAAGCTTATAGCTCTTGCTGGTATTTCTCCCTATATTTCCTTCTGACTTCTACTCCAAAGGTAATGAGAACATATGCTGTAGACATTATGGATTGCAGACATGAAAGGGGAGTGTTCAAGGAGCTTTGATCTTGTAATGTATAAATTTGAGAGCTAATGCTTACAAGGGTAGATTCATTTTTAGATTATTCCCCTCTCCTCAATGTATTCTCCCTACATTTAATTCCTGCAGGTTATGTGAAGCTCTTTGTTTGTTGCTGCTACTCAAATTCATTTGGCTGTGAGCAGCTTTCAATTTACTCCTTATAGGAAGAAAGAAGCTCACAATAAATTATGGGTGCTGAGATTTATTTGTACATGCAGCGGCCTCTCATCTAACCAAGTAATGAGACTGTGGATCCTTGCGCTGGTTCTCCTCTCCTTTCTCCCCAGATTCTCAGTCAAATGACAAGGTTCAACAGCAGTAATTTCTGTGACTGAAACACAGTTCCATAAAAAATAATTAGCTAAATATATTCCCTGTTTTATACATTCAACAGCAGGAGAAATTGCTGGTATTCTCTGAATATTCCTAATCTAGGTGTGGGTTTCCTTGTCAGTGAAGTTACTTTGCCTTCTGCTCTTGGAATTCCTTTGATTTTTCTTTTAAAAGGCTTCAACTTTGGTTCATCCAGTTGAGCCAATAAGCTGGGATTTGGGCCCTGATTCCATCCTTTCCTCGCTGACCAGAGGTGAAACTCATCCTCCAATCCAGTCATTCTGTGAAGTACGACTGGGGTCGAAAGTTATGCAACATATTCTTGCCCCTCTTTTTCCTATATTAATGTAGGTTCTGAGCAATGGTAAATGGGCAATCCTAATGCTGATGAATTGGAAATATTTGAATCCAGCCCTGCATCATTTGGAGAGAGCTACTGGCCAAGGTAACAGCAGCTTCGGTTCCCTTCCTTCTGTTTCACCTGATCGCTTCCCAATGGAGCTATTTCTCAGTACCCCTCCTTTTGAAAACAGAGCCGTGTTGTGGTGGGTTTTTTGCCTGTTCTTTTAACCCCTTTGGGTTTCTGTTCTTCTATTCCTTCTCTTAATTGGCCAAATGACAACTGGATCCCCAAATCTACTTTTGCAAATGTTGCTTTCTCTGTGTTGCTTCGTCCT